ACACACACACACACACACACACACACACACACACACACACACACATTACCCCCATTCCTTTTTACAAAAACAAAATGTTTAAGGTATGAATGAAGCTGTAGCACTCAGATTTTGTTAACTAAGAAGGTGCCTTTTAAAAAATACAGTAATTAGAAAAGTGTGATTGGCCACCTGGAAAATCTGAAAGGCGGATTCAGGGCAAGTGTTTGGAAATTGTGTTTTGTTTTCTTCCCAGATACTTTTCAGGGACAACTCAGACCCACGGGAAGCATCAGGCACCTTCCCATTGGAGAAGTGGGAGAAAAAGTTTTATCTGGTGTCCGTCACCGTCCTTTACCTTTGGCTCTCTCCCTTTTGGGACCAAGAGAGTGAATTTAAACTTCTTGGATCTGAAATTCACCCATGTTGCTTCATCCTTTCTATCCTTATCTCTTTGATCATATTTTCCATTGTTTTTACTCCTGCACCCGTTTTGGTATTTTGTTCACTTTCGTTGATAATTCATTATACAGCTATGTTAAGAATTTAGTGCTTTTTAAAAAAATGTGCTTAGTTCATACCATTTGTGGTAAATTAAGGTGTAGGTTTGAGCAGATCTCAGCTTTGAATCTCATAGGAATTCCTGAAGTAGAAAAATGCAGTAGTTCTCTGTGTGTTTAAGAGGGAGAAAGATATTTTTATCAGTCAACAAAACTGTCCTCTGTGGTTTGCTACTTGCACAGAAAGATCTGGTATTCATTAAATTACTTTAAAAGGAATTCATAAGAATGGTAATCAAATTTCTAGGGTTTTTTTTTTTTAGTTAAAAATATAGAGATTGTTGGGAAACTGAAGACAAAAGGCTTGAGGAAAACGACATTCCTCAACTTTATTTTTAAAAAGGAGAGTTGATGATTCAAATGAAAATGGCCTGCTTCACTTTCAAACATTTCTCACTTTTCATCTTTCTGAGAGAGTTGAGCCAAACTACTGTATCTTGGCTAATATTAACATTTTTTTTTTTTTGGTATTTGTTTCTTCTGAAATAATTTCCTCAAGCACTATTCTTTTTATATGAAGAGCAATATTTAGTGGGGGAAATAAATATGGTGTTATCACGTGAGATCTTGAGAAACATCTTTTGTTAATACTCATGCCCTTAGCTGGAGAATGCAGTGCTGGGAATGTAGATGACTCCCAAGTACAATTGAGTCTAAATACTGTGGAATGTTTTCTGTTTGGGTGTTGCTAACTCCCAAATTTAATCTTCCTCTAAAAACAAACAACCGAGGGTACCATTTTTGTCTGTGGAATTTGATCCTGTTTTATTGAGTAAGGAATTGAAGGCTGCCTTCTTTCTGTGGTAACCATGGGCCCTGTCTTCTACATATAGTATGGCCCAGCAACTACAACACTGTAATGTTTTTGTTTTTTTTTTTAACAGTGCCTAATTATTAGCAGGCTCAGGACTTGCACTCCCAGGATTTGTAGTGGTTTGCTTTTTAGAGATAATTTTTTTTTTCCTGTTAAATCACTGAGAGTTCAAAAAAAGGAACCAGATAAAATAGAAAATTTCGGGTGTGGAGTTTGGATAGAATTGGGTTGTTGCTTTTGGAAGGTGTATTCCATTTCTATATTAGAGACGTCTGCCTTGTTAGGTTTTAGTAATGAGGATTCTATTGGACACGTAAAGAGTTTCTTGAGTTTTGTTCTATAGGCACTCAAATACCTATGCCTACATCTTGACTTTCAAGTTGAAGCTTCATAAATCTGAAAAAATTTGATGTTAAGATTCTAAAATAGACTTAGTTACATGTCAGGCTAGGACCAACTTCTCATGATTACTTGATAAAATCAGCATGTAGTTGGGGCCTATTTGGTGACACATTTGTTATGACGCCTTCTGCTATCTACTAGGAGAAATTCCTTCTGCCATCAAATATCTGCAAAGATATTTGACTATAACTGTAAGGTTGCCGGCAAGTGAAGATAGGTAATTGAGCAGATATTTATTAAGCACCTATTATGGGAAAAACATGTTAAACTGATGAACTGGAAAGCAATATTACCTGGTGATTAGGACAAAGGCCTGTAACTCTTTTGTGGTTGTTCAATTGATTTTTGATAATGTTATAATTGATCATCTTCCAACTTGTTTATGAATCAGGTGCACTCTTGAGTGTGTATGTACGTTAATATATGTGTATGTGTGTGTGTGTATGTGGGGAGATACCCTGGAAGAGGCGTTGTGACATGGACAACAAAGTTGCTGAAAGAGTTAAGAAGACTTGGGTGCATGTTCTGGCTGTGACACATACTGGTTCTGTGACCAAAGTCACTCTCAGTGCCTTCAGGCAACTCTAAGACTGATTTTCAAAGCTGCTGTGCTTCGGTAGAAGGAATTTCCTTACTGGGAGTTGCATATACCAATGAAATCACAGATCTAGCCTCTTCCCACTTTCCCAAAAGAGAATCATCAGATTTCTTTCTTTTTTCTTTATTTTCTTTTTTTTCTTTCTTCCTTTCTTTCTTTTTCTCTTTCTCTTTTTCTTTCTTTTCTTTCTTTCTCTAGAGAGATAGTCTAGATATCTTCTGGATCTCCCCCTTCCTCCCACTTACACATTATAATACTGAACTGTTTTTTAATTCTTTCTTATTAAATCATTCTTTAATCACTCCCTCCTTTTCCCCACACTGTGCAAAGTTTTGGAAACTAAGTGATTTAGGTGATAGGACAACTGTAAAGAACTGTGGACTCTCCAGGGTCTTAACTTTCGGGGTTGAGGGAGATACTAGATACTGATACAAAGAGGTGCCACACTTCACTCCATAACTTTTTGCCAAATGAGTGGTGGAAACAATATATGCTGTTGAGTTATGAGGTGGGAGAGGTTATATTGGGCTGCGAAGGATTTATGGAAGAAGAAGACCTTTTTGTGTTTGAAAGAAAAAAAAAGATTTTTAAAAAAACAGGCCAATTGCTTAGTAACTATTTGAAATACAGCTGTTGCCATGTAAGATTTCTGAAGAGGAGAAAGACAAGTTGATGGGACCTTAGTTTTAAAAGGGAAACAGGCCCAACCCCTTCATTTTGCAGATTAGGAAACTGAGGGCCAAAGGGATTGGGGAGGGGGGCAGTTTGCTTTGTGTCACTGATAATAAGCAGCAAAGTTGGTATTTGAACTGGTTCTTGGTTTAATTATGTAACCTGTAATATTATTTCTTTTTGTAGTTACAGACCTGAGTGTTCCAGGACTTTGGTCCTTAGGGTTTTAAGTCAGCTTTAGAGGTGATCTGAGTTTAACTCCCTCATTTTATAGATGAGGGTGCTGAATTCCAAAGAGGTTGTGACTTGTCCCGTGGTAGAATAGAGTGGTAGAACAGAGAGTGGTTGAACAGAGAGACCAGAACCCAGTTCTCGAGACTGTCAGGGCGCTTGTAGGGAAGAGAAGTCCACCTCCCAGGTGTGAAGAGATAGGAGATTAGACTTCTTTGGTATCCTGCTATGTTTTTCATTTCTAAACTTCCTCCTTAAGACTCTCTTAAGGTTTTGATTGGAAGTGATCTTTGGAGTATAGATCCATTAGGCAGATTTGTATTTCACTGTCCACAAGCTATTGAAGACATTCTCTTTCCTCCTCAAGCCCCTATACCTCTCTCAACTAAGAACCCTTGCCTATTACTTTAATTGAAAAAAAAAGAAAAAGCCATTTGATATGAGCTCTTTCTTCTCCTGTTCTTGTCTCAAAACCCCTTAAAATCAGCTCCTACTCTTTTCCTTTCCACCAGTTTAACAAAAAGGTTTGCCCTTCTCGTTAATGCCTATTTGATCCCACCCCCTCCCATCTTTAGGGACAGATTGCATCCTCAGTCCACCTCTTCCTATACCTGGAATCTTCAGTCTCTCCAGCTGGTTCCTTCAGAGTGTCTTCAAACATGCCCATCTTCCCCACCCTTAAAAAAAACCTTCACCAGGCCCTCTCATCCCCTCACCCTGTCATTCTGTATCTCTTCCACTCTATTTCGGCCAGACACCTTGGGAAAAGCCATCCAAACTCAACTGTGTCCATTTTCTCTCCTCTCATTCTTAATTGAAATTGCTACTCCCACGATCTCTTATTTGTCAAACCTTCTCAGTCCTCCACCTTTCAGCTTCATTTGACGTTATTGATGACCTCGTCCTAGATATGTTCCTTCTCTGGGTTTTGGTGACACTCCCCTTTTCCTGCATCATTTCCTTTTTCTCTGACTGTTCTTTCCCCATCATACTCTCCCTAATTGTAGGGGTTCCCCAGGTCTTGGGCCTTCTTCCCTGTGTTCTCTCTGTAACCTCAACGGCTCTCCAACTGCTATCTCTATCTAGAGGATTCCTAGATCTAAATCTGTGTATCCAGCTCCGCTTTCTTCCCCAGAGCTCCTGTCTCACCCCA